ATATATTAAATATATATTTATTATAAATTAAATATATGTATATATTTAATTTATATATTAAATATGTATGTAAATAAATATATAAATATATATGTATGTATATATTTGGCTCTCTTTAATTTTTGCTATTAGACAATTTTACAAGATTGATAGAGGTAAAAGAAATTTCCGATGGTATTCGTTTAGAAAGACATAAATCATTTTACTTTAAAGTTGTGTTTGAATCTCTTAAAGTAATTAAATATATATTTACTTAAAAATATATTTTAATCTATACTGTAACGCGCGCGCTTATATTCCAAAGCTAATTGAAATTCGAGGAAGGGACGATTGAGTTTCTTTGTAAATTTTTTATTTGTAACAAAAGTTCAACGATCTATATTCGCTCGCATTATTTTGCATGCCAATTTTCGGGTTTTCTGTCGCAATACAACGTCATTTTGAGATAATTTGTATCGAGGCTCGGGTTTTACTTATTCGTTCACATCTTCAATTACTCGACGGCCGCGGTCCATGAATCGTTCTTGTGTAAGATGTTTCTGTTGTTCATTTTCGTTCAGTCATTCTTAAGCTAACTCTTCCAAATGTATATTGGAAATTCCGCGGTTTATATTGAAACAGAAACGACGTTGTAAGACTTTAAAAGATGTTTACTAGACATCTTTTAATTTCTTGCACATCTCACGGGACGTCGAGCGTCTTTCGTTCGGTAACTTACTCCTGCTTCACACGAGCGATGACGGAGGACGGCGTCTCTTACGCATATCGACGGAAATTCTCTGTATAATTCTCTTGCATCGTAATCAAAACTACAGTCCGCACGAAACTCATGATAGGCTTCGATCATCGGTAGCTAACGCGTAGAGATAACGATTAACCGGCGTTGAACTAGCGGCCAAAAACCCGACGCTCGTTGCAATTCAGTTTATGTATTTCGGCGTGCGTGCGCGCGAGGCGAGGGTCGCGAGGGCACGCGCATATATACGCATAATTTTTATAATAAGACAATCGCGCGCCGATTCGGATACGCAGCTCGTGCCGGTCTCCTTATCGGACTTGGATACATAGCCGATAATCACGTACACGTTGCGACACGATGCATGGCCAAAAAGTCTTGTTCCTATTTCTCCTAGTGTGTATGTGTGTGTGTTCTAACGATACAGCCAATTTCGGACGGCCGTATCGAGAGAAAGAAACGAAATGTAAGAAGGGTAGAGAAAAAAAAGAGTAAACGAATAAATAGAAACTGGTCTATCGCAGCATCTCCCGCAACGATCGCGCGCGTGCGAACCCGAACGCGTAGACGCCGCACGTGGCAATCTTATCTTGCGACCGCCAGTCAGTTGTTTAAAATGTTCCATCGTATGTAAAACAACTGCGTTCGACGCGCCGAACGAAAGGTCGGAACAGAGTGAGAAAAAGCTAGAAGATAATCGCGCGAGCGATTAAGTCCCGGTACGTAGACGCGTGACGGACTTCTCGTTTAATATAAATGCCTAGTACTTATAGTATTTTCACCGTTAATTTATTGACCTTAATGTGTAAAAGCGGCGACAGCCGAGGCGGTTAATAGTCGACTGAGTGGCAGGGGGCGAAAAGGGGCGAGAGGGCGTAAAGAGGGTTGAAATGGGATGGACATTGGGAATTAGCGGATCGTCGATATATTAGTACAACGTTATGGTAAAACGGTCGCGAAAGGGATTATAGCGTTATTTATCGAAAGATCAGCGCGCATCTGCGATCCTGATCGTCATGCTCGACACGTCGCCTCTATTTTCCTTAGGGGCGCGTTACGCGCTTCTCCATCTTCGAATTACATTTACGAATGTGGGGGAGATTGCGGTACATGAGGGGTGGTGAGGTCAACGGAGACAATTGGGGCCTCACGGTAAATCGATGCGAAAAGACAAACACAGTTTGTAACGTAGCTAGGCAGTGGTCTGTGGGATGATCGAACAAGGCGATATAATGATTTGGAGCTTGATGTGATATAATACTTATGTGCCAAATAGCGTTTTCGCGGGCGGGGGGTTAATCAAAAAAAGGAAAAAAAAGAGAGAGAGAGAAAGAGAGAAAAACCTCTAGTTCCGAGTCGCCTCGTTGGCTCGACGTGAAACGAATTTTTTGCGTCTCCTCCTTTTTTCACGTTTTCTTCTTTTGTTATTTATAATCAGTGCAATTACATACACACACGGTACCTAATATAATTTTATAAAGAGAGCCAGTATCCTCGATATATCTGCACCCATTTTGTTGGGGCTCGACCGGCATCAGATTTAGGATAGCTTAATGTTGATAATAATTTATTTTATGTATATAATGGATTTGTACATTGTGTCGGGAGATAATCATCGATCCGCGGCCCGACACGAGCGTCAATATTATTAATGTACAGTGTAATTATATTGTGATGTATCTACGTAGCTACATTATATATGTAACTATTCGAAGCATGTAGATTAACAATGTTAAACGCGATATGTATTCTTATTTTCAATGTCATTATTATCTTTATTATTATCTTTATAATTATAATTATTATTATTATTATTGAGATGGCACCATTATTATTATTATTATTATCATTATAAATATTACAGTTATTAATATCATCGTTGCTTAATTAGTACACTTATTATTTAAGTGACGAGCCTTATTATTTTTAGTAGCAAAAAAAAGGTTGTACGTGCCAGTTTAGACAAGAACGGCAAGTGAAAGTTCGTTGGTCGTTTATGCTCGAATACTCAATCAAATTTTAATGCAATATTTCTATGTGACACATTTTTAACGCAATATTTCTATATGTATACATTTCCTTCGTTGGAACCGTTTCCTTGGTCTGTGATGATTTCGGAATACTGCGTCTAGGAATTACAATTTTATATCACATTCATAATCTTCATATTTTAAAGTTTTAAAATATACATTTCTCTCTCTAGGTCAATCTTTCATCATCAGTTTCAAAGATAAGCAAAAGAAATTCAGTTTTCTTTTAATTATTTTTACTGTTAGACAAATTTTTCACTTAGCAGAAAGATGACACATTTCGGGTGAATGATCTGCCTATCTTGCATTTTTTTATTTGTGCCATATCTTCGTTATTGAATATTGAAAAATTAAATTGTTTTCACGTTTGCAAAATTTTATGAAATCAAACCATCTGACGATGTAATTCGCGCGTGCAATGGAGTTCGGTCCGCATTTCCCGTTTTATTAAAGACCTTATCGATTCTTATTGTTGTCCGCAGTGTTTGCTTTGATAAAAATCGGTTCTGCATTCCATCGATTGCGATTTCTACATCGATCGTTGAAATTAGCAACGATATTTAGTCCGTGGCGATCTCCTTACTTTCAGATATCACGAATGTTATGCGATAAATATATCAGCACACGATTATTATATTTACTGGCCTTTACATGCAACCAATGCGAATGCAAACTGTAAGAATAGTAAATTGTAAATCGAATTACACTACTAATATTATAGTATATTTAACGTAAAGAAAAAGTGAACACTAACATCCGCTCTCAATATTCCAAGCATTCACTTCATTTACATGTACGTTGTTGTTAATGGTATAAAAAAAATATAATAAAATAACGCTTTACCGAAATTCAATCTTAGTTTTAGGGGTGTACGACACTATTTCTAGATGAAAAAAAACTTGTATGTATGAGGGATGTATATAGTTATGCAGTACCAGTGTAAATGGGAAGAGACAGAATGAGCGGGAGTGAGAAAGAAAGAGGAGTAAAAGAGAATGAAAGAAAGAGTAGGAAAGAGAGAGAGAGAGAGAGTGAGAGTGAGTGAAAGGATAGAGAGTGTAAGAAAACAGTCAAATGATGTGTGAGTGGAATAAAATTCTCCGCGATCATCTTAACACTACTCGTGTCGTGATTGTAGTACACTATTGGTATCAATAGCATAAAATCAAAATATATATTTAGGATGATGGGTAAATCGCTACTGATAACACACTACTTTAAATTTTATTTATTGATACATATTCATAACGGAATAATCTTCATCGCGGCAGTGTTAAGATGAGCGTACAAAGCATACAGTAGAACAAAGGAAAAGTCATTCTTCGAAACGCACACATATAGCGCAGCATTAAAATTATCTAAAGATGTAGCACGTCTTCGCGCTTACATACTATTATTGTGAACGAAGTATTCTCGCGTCTGAGAATACATATATTTTTGTTGAGTATAATTGAAGTTAAAGTAACAAGTCTCTCATCAAGAACGCACCACAAGCTGGCTGTGAGTCACGTGACTAACTCTCATGTTTCATTCTTTTGACAAAAGGCACACATATATTCATCACCATTTGCTTAAATTAAACTATACGAATAAACATTGGCAAATTGCAATTATTTATTTGTTGACACGACCCAAGATGACTTTTCCTCATAGATAGAGACATCAAATGCACTGTATATCACAATAGAGAACAGCACTATTATAAACATAAAAAAATATATGATTATATTTATTATAATTTGAAAGCTAGGTACTCTTTGTTGTTTGTATTTTACAAGCGTAATCATTATTATACATAAATAAATATGAACTATATAAATGAATAAATAGACTTTCATTTTTACATGTGCGGGTGTCATGTCAGAAAAAAAAGAGGAATTAGAAGAGAATGGCAATTTAATGATAACGAAAATACATGGTTAATAAAAATAAGGTTTCATCGATTTGTAACTCTGTGGCCGCCAGTTTCTTGATTGCATTTTGCGCTTTTTCAAGCTGTTCGGTCTCAGATGGTGTCATCATTTCTGCAATCTATGAAAAAAGAGGTTTTTAAAATATTGTCATATATTAATTAATTAATTCATTGTTTTTGCAACTCTCTTAGCTCAGTAATATATAAGTATATATTCGTATTACATCAGCCAGTTGTTGTTCCGTCGCGCCATGTTCCTTCAAATTGGCAGAAAGTATCTGTACTCTCAATTGCTTTTCTATCATACGTTTGTTACTAGTCGATTCATGATCTCGTCTTTTTATAATGTTGTATAATGCTTGATAACAATGCTCGATTTCCATCTCGACAATTTTAGTTAAATCGATACAAAAGCGATAAGGTGCTTTTGCCGGCCCTGACGAAGTTCCACTTTTCTTCATCTCTTCAGTCTGTATATAATTCTCTCGTGACAAAGTATATGTTAAGAATTTGGCTTCTTTTGCTGGAATCATTGCTAAATTCTGGATTTGTTCTAGGTTAACGTCAATTTCAATGCGAACCAATCTAAAAATTACAAAAAAGCCTAATGGTTATGTAGAGAAAACATACAATTGAAGCATTCTCTCTTCATTGCAGTAAAGTGAAATACTGAGTACTGAATCTGTAACTTTTTACCTGAAAATTCTTGCAGCTTTGGAACCGAACCTCTCTGTTACGATATGTTCCAAAGTCGCCCATGTTAACTGTTTGAATGCATTTTTCATGTCAACGCTGTACTGCCCTCCACCAGAATCGCCAACTCGTTTGATGAATTGCGTACTATCCTCCTCTAGAAGCCGCAAGTACTGATCAAGAAAGTGCTCGAGGTCTTCATAATTCAATTTTTTCACTTCTTCTTTTATCTCAGTATATGGAATTGGATTTGACGTAGCTGCCCAAGATGCAGTCCGCAAGTACATCAAATTGATCAACTGTCTCATTAATTCTCCAGCATTTTTATCAAATCTTTTGGTCATAGCTGATATAACGATTTGATCCCTGATATAAATTATGTGTTAATATAATAATGCGTTATTCATTTTAAGATATAATCAGAGATTAATATAAATTAAAATGCTTTTACCGAAGATCCTGAGTAAATCGATCGAAATTAACTTTCCAATATATTTTACTATCCGAAAGTTCAATATTTTCTCCTTCCAACACATTGGAAATGGCCGCCAAATCAAGGTCTGGTAAGTTATAATCAGGTTTTTCAGTATCTTCTGTCATCGTATCAAAGGATGTACTATGCATTAAAAATTGATTTTTCACCAATAACTCGAATACCTTTTTCAGATTTGGGATAGAAAGTGGTTCAACGGCTATAAAAATATTTAGATAATTAATGCAATAAATCCTAGAGTTTATTATATTACAATAAGAATAGAATATTTTAGAAAATAATTTTTAAAGAAAACGGAACCTGTATAAAAAGATTATTGAATCGTACATTTAGAAGGTGTCTGTTCAATTCGTTTGTATGTTTTTATTATTACTTCAGATGCTGCGATGTACCCGTGTTTTAACACCTCTTCCAACATGATTTCGCCCTCGTCTCCACAGTAAGTTTTTGCGAAAAGAATATACCTGCAATGAATAATATCTACAATAATTGATATTCTTAATACACAAGAGACAAATTATATTCTACAACATAATAAAAATTCTTATTCTATAAGAATACCTTGGATAGCGAAGGAGCATGATAATTTTATTTTGGTGCAAAGTATACTCAACGTTCTCCTCATTTTGTTTATATGTGACAAAACCATATTTTATAAGGACACATAGTGCTTCCTTGATCTAAACAGGGATAATTAAATAAAGGGTACGTTAGCAAAAGAGAAGTTTTTTACGAAATGTATATTTCAAATAATACAATCGTCATCATTAGTACGTAATATGGAGCTACATCATTGCTTACCTTTGCTATTGATAGATTTGTTTCGAAATGTATTGCACCTAACGTTTTCGTACCATACATTAAATTATTACCAATGCACTGTACGATAGAGCCAAAGTACTCTTCTAACAGTAGCAAACACAATTTGTTGTAAAAGTCCTTCATATTTATGACCATTAATCCTTTCGTTGTCAATATTATCCATATGTGTGCATATACAATTCCACACGTAACTGAACTTACTGAACACGTTGAGAGTTGGGACACTTTCCAACACTCTCTCTCTCTCTCTCTCTCTCTCTCTTTTTCTCTTCTTTTTTGCGAAATCTCCGACTCTTGAAACTGATTAAGTCGCAATTCCACACCACGGGCAATTTACAGAAAGACGCTCAACACTGAATTACTCTTTGCACGTGCAAAGAATAATGCCATGGTCCATTACTAGCCTTTCTGAACAGCCTGAGCAACATTGCAACGTGCAACGTGCTCACGTTTTAAAGGAATTAAAGGTTAGGTTAGTGGTGATCAGCAGGTGGGAACTGGAGGGAACTGGAGGGGAACAGGGGAACAGGCGTCTACTGGCGCCTCTATGTTCTATGTGCACAAAACGTACATACATCTTGAACTACGTAGCTACGGTAATTACCGGCAGGGCGGCGAGTAATATACGCATGCACAATGCGTTATAAAAATAATAACTACAAAATGGAATAATTTGAGAAATAGTAATTTAATAACAGCTCAAAAATTTCTAATAGAGTAACTTATATGTAATAAATTATTATTCAAAGACAAACAAACAACAAAATAATCATAATGCTAGCAAATGAGGTACCTATAATAACATTTGTAAAGCCCATTCTACAATAGCCGTAAAAACACTCGATAACTACAACATACTTTGATATGTGCTAAAGCATTAGTATTAACCCTTTAGGGGCCACACATCGATCCCGTTGGATTAAGGCTACATCCACCTAGAGGTCCGAAAAATAGGTCGAAATTCAGATTTTTTTCAGAAACGATTAGTGGAAATGAAACGAATTTTTTTTGTTATGTAAAAGTTTTTAAAAGTTTTTGTTATGCAAAGTTATGAATTTAGATTTTTTGAAATTTACTTATTAAGAATGTTCAATAATTATGATAGCGTAGAAACAACAATTCTTTACACAGAAAGAAAGAAACAATATATATATTAACTATTATAATTAATTACAATCTTTTTAGGAATTGTGATTTTATATAATGTAAGAATAAAATGCAAGTTTATTTGATATCTTATATATATGTAT